AATTTATATCCATCACTTACCATCTATATGACCTAGGATAAGTTATTTAAACTCAGTCTAACTCAGTTTGCTTCTCTGTATAATGGGGATGTTAATATCTACCTTACAAAAATGTCATGATAAATGAATGAAATATCTTCTGTTAGAGTTATAATTATATAATAAATGGGAGTTCCCAACACAAAATAGAGGCTTGATAAGTAACAGCCACTGCCTTTGCATTTACAGGTCAACTATAAATATATAGTATTTGCTAACACACATAATAATAATAGCATACACATCTGTTCACATGATGTTCAATGCTGTGTTAATAGGGTCAATACCAAAGCTATTTAAAATTTCCAAACAAGGAAGCAATTGTTGTAAACCTTCTCTTTTCTGAAAACATGGATTAAGAGTAGTAAAACGTTCCAAAACATTAAGGTATACCTTAGTAGAGAAATTAAGAAAGTCAGCTCAGAATGGATTGAGATTAGAAACAGGCTTTAGTAAAGTACAAGAGCAAGATTTTGACTATAGGCAAATTTATAGCATTAACTTTACAACAAAATGATATGCTCTAAATGAAAGCAAAATTTTCATAGAAGTAGGATTGAACCTTGAACTGCCAGGCTTGATGAGGGGGAAAAAATACTATCAATCAAGGTCAAGTTTCCAGTGTCCTTGGCATATATATGGTCCCAGAGCAGAGATAGCTACATCAAGTTATCATTAGTTAGTAGCAATATATATTAAGATTATCAAGTAACTTCCCCTCTCATCAGCCAGTTTGTGTCACTCCAACTCCAGACTAGTGAAAAGCCTCCTGGTTTTACCCTGCTATCCTCTCAGGGTCTGCCACAGAGATTGTGAATGTGCTCACAACCAGTGATCTGGCCCATGTGGCCATTATGTTTTTCCTTATAAAGAGATACTCTGGTATTGTTGCTTATAAGTCAGTCTCTAAAAAGTTCAATTTGTATAAATCTATTGTGAACTTTGAGAAACTGGTTATCTGAAGATCCACAGTCAAAAAGCAATGTAGATAAAGGGCAAAGAAGATGTAGAATAGAAGCCTTCACCAATCACCCCCCGCCCCTTGCAGGAACACCAAATTTACAACTATCTAAACATACACACACACACACACACACACACACACACACATTTATAAGAACCAGAAATCAGGTGAGTAATTACACTACCTGGCTTTAACTTCATATCACTGAAAGAGGCACTGAAGAGGGTAGGAAACACAGTCTGAATCACCAATGCCAACTTTCTTTCATTCCCCCAGTAAAGGTCACATGGCAGGAAGAATCTGTACACTTGGGGAAGGGAGAGTACAGAGATTCTGGGACCCTGTATTGAATTTGGTGCGGCCCTGTCACAGTGGAAAGCAAAGGTGAGCAGAACCCAGCGGCCTACCCATGGAGGGAGCATTTAGACCAGCCCTAGCCATTTTGGTTGTTGGAACTTGAGTTCCAGCAAGCCGCAAAACCATGGGCTAAACTGATCTGGGTTGTTAAATAAACTTGAAAGGCCATCTGGACCACAAGGACTGCAATTCCTAGGCAAATTCTAGTGCTAGGCTAGGCTAGACATGGCAGGAATGTGATCTAGTGAGACACCAGTCAGGCAGCTAAAAAAGTGCTCGTGCCACCCCTCCCCCAGCCCCAGGCAGCATAACTCTCACCAAGTGTTCATTCCTTCCTTGTGAGGAGAGGAGAGGGAAGAGCACAGAAAACTTTATCTTGCATTTTATATGCCAGCTCAACCACAGGAGGGAAAGGCATGGGGCAGAGTTTTGAAGCCCCTATTCCAAACCCTATATCCCAGATGACATTTCTAGACACATCCTGGCCCAGAAGAGAGCCCTCTTCCTTTAAAGGAAGGAATCAGTCCTAGCTAGATTCATCACCTGCTGAATAAAAAGCCTCTGGGCCCTGAAAAACCATCACTGATAACCAGGTAGCATACCACGGGCCTTGGGTGAGACTCTGAAATGGGCTGACTTCAGGTAATACCCACATATTCTCATCTGCAGTGGTTAGGCTGAGAGAACATTTCTGCTTGAAAAAAGCAGATGGAAAAGTAAAGGGAACTTTGTTTTGCACCTTAGGTACTATATTGGCCACAGAGGGGTAGAGCACTAAGAGGGCTCTTAGGATCCCTGATGCCAGCCCTTGACACTTAGTTGGCATTTCTGGACCAGCCCTGGGCCAAAGGAGAGCCCATTGACCTGAAGGGTGAGTCTCAGGTCTGCAGCATTCATTGCAAGCTGTCTGATTAGTGCTTGGTCCTTAAGTAAATATTGGTGGTAGACTGGCAACACCCACTGTGGGTTTTTGTTGGTGGTGGCCAAGGAAAGAGGCTCTTGTTACTGTAGAAAAGTGAAAGAAGAGTGGGAAAGACTTGTCTTGCAGTGTCAGTGCCAGCACAGCTTGAGTAGAATAGAGCGCCAGGCAAATTTCTAAAGTTTATTTACTCCAGTCCCTGGAGTAGTAAAAAACAGCATCTCTGGACCCCTAGGGAAACTCATCACCCTAAAGGGAAGAACACAGCCTGGCTGATTTTAGCTACAGCTGAAATACTCTTCAAACATAAAGGAGAAATAAAGACTTTTCCAGACAAAAAAAAGCTGAGGGAGTTCATCGACACCAGACCTATCATAAAAGGAATGCTAAAGGGAGTTCTTTAATCAGAAAGTAAAGAACATTAATGAACAATAATAAAAAATCTGGAGATACAAAACTCACTGGTAATAGTAAATACACAGAAAAGCACAAAATATGATAACACTGTAATTGTGGTGTGTAAACTACTCTTATGTGACAAGACTAAATGATAAGCCAATCAAAAATAATAACTACAGCTTTACAAGACACAGTACAAGATATCAATAGAAACAACAAAAAGTTCAAAAGTGGGAGGAGAAAAGTTAAACTGCAGAGCTTGGATTAGTTTTCTTTTTTCTTTATTTATGCAATCAGTGTTACATTGTCATTAGTTTAAAATAATAGGTTATAAGATAGTATTTGTCTTATGGTAACTTCAAATAAAAAACGTACAACAAATACACAAAAAGTAAAAACCAAGATATTAAATCACTAATCATATTACCACAGAAACTCGCCTTCACTAAAAGGAAAAGGGAAAGAAAGAGAGAGAAAGGGAGGGAAAGAGGGAGGGAGGGAGGGAGGGAGAAAACACCAGAAAACAAAGAATAAAATGGCAAGAGTAAGTCCTTACTTTTCAATAATAACATTGATTGTAAATGGATAAAACATTCCGATCTAAAAACACAGAGTGACTGAATGGATTAAAAAACAAGATGCATTTATCAGTTGCCTTCAAGAAACATACTTTACCTATAAATATAGACTAAAAATAAAGGGAAGAAAAAAGGTATTTCATTCCAGTGGAAATGAAAAAAGATAGAAGTAGCTATACTTATAATAGACAAAACATATTACAAGACAAAATCTATAAGAAGAGACAAAGGATTATAATTGTATAATAATAAAGAGGCCAATTCAGCAAAAGGATACAACAATTATATATACACCAAATACTGGAGCATCCATAAATATAAAGCAAATATCACTAGAGCTAAAGAGATTGACCCCAATACAATAATAGCTGGAGACTTAAACATCCCACTTTCAGCACTGGACAGATATTCCAGACAGGAAATCAGCAAAGAAACATCATACTTAACCTACGCTATGGAACAAATAAAAATCTAACAGATATTTACAGAACATTTTATCCAATGGCTACAAAATACACATTCTTCTCCTCAGCAAATGGATTATTCTTGAGGGCAGACTATATGTTAGGTTACAAAGCAAGTCTTAATACATTTTAAGAAATTAAATAATATCAAGCATCTTCTCTGACCACAATGGAATAAAATTAGAAATCAACAAGAGGAATTTTTAATACTATACAAACACATGAAAACTAAACAGTATGCTCCTAAATGGCCAGTGAGTCAATAAAGAAATTGAGAAGAAAACTGAAAAATGTATTGAAACAAATTATAATGAAAACACAGCATACCACATGGGATACAGGGTAAGCAGTACTAAGAGGGATACGGGGTAAGCAGTACTAAGAGGGATACAGGATAAGCAGTACTAAGAGGGAAGGTTATAGCTATAAGCACCCATATCAAACAACAACAACAACAAAATGACAAAACTCCAAATCTACCAAAAAAATACAAAAATTAGCTAGATGTGGTGGCATGCACCTGTAGTCCCAGTTGCTTAGGAGGCTGAGCTGGAATAATTGCTGGAGCCCAGGAGGTTTGGACTGCAGTGAGCTGAGATCATGCCACAGCACTCCTACCTGGGTGACAATAAGAATGTGTCTCTAAAAAATAAAATGAATAAAATAAAATATGAAAGAAGAAAAAGGAGAAGGAGGAGGAGGAGACAATGACTTCAAATAAATACCTATTATGTATGCATAAATAAATAATAATGCATCTTAAAGTAGTAGAAGATCAAAAGCAAACTGAACCCAAAATTAGTAGAAGAAAATAAAGATTAGAGTAGAAGTAAATAAATACATGAATTGGAAATAAACAATACAAAAATAAATTTTTAAAAAATTGGTTTTTTTAAGATAAAATTGGCAAACCTTTAGCAAAACTAATGACAAAAAAAGAAAGATGACCCATATAGATAAAATCAGAGATAAAAAAGGAGACATTACAACTGATACAGCAGAAATTCAAATAATCATTAATAGATACTATGAGCAACTACATGACAATAAATTAGAAAATCTAGGAGAAATGGATAAATTCCTAGATACTAGAAAGCTCTCACCATTTACCATGAAGAATTCCAAAATCTGAATACACCAATAACAAGTAAAAAGATCAAACATAATAAAAAGTCTCCCAGCAAAAAAAAAAAAAAAAAAAAGCCTGGGAACCAATGGCTTCACTCTGAATTTTACCAAACATTTAAAGAATAACTAATATCACCCTACTCAAATTATTCTGAAAAATAGAGGAGGAGAGAATACTTCCAAACTCACTCTATGAGGCCAGTATTACCCTAATATCAAAACCGGACAAAGACATATCAAAAAAAAGAAAACCACAGACCATCAGTCAATGTAATACATCATATCAACAGAAGGGAGGACAATAACCAGAAGATCATTTCAATTGATACTAAAAAACCATTTGATAAAATTCAACATCCCATCATGATAAAAACCCTTAAACAACTGGGTATAGAAGGAACGTGGCTTGACATAATAAAGTCATATAAAACAGATCCACAACTAGTGTCATACTGAATAGGGAAAAGCTCAAAGCCTTTAAGATTCAGAACACAATAAGAATGCCCACTGTCACCAGAGTTACTCAACATAGTACTGGAAGTCCTAGCTAGAGCAATTAGACAAGAGAGAAAAATAAAATACTTACAATTAAGGAAGAAGTCAATTTATCCTTGTTTGTAGATGATATAATCCTTTACTTGAAAAAACCTAAACTCCAACAAAAGAATATTAGAACTGATAAGTTGAAGGATACAAAATCAACATACAAAAATAAGTAGCATTTCTATATGCCAACAGTGGGCAATCTGAAAATGAATCCCATTTTTGCAATAGCTATAAATAAAATTAAATATCTAGGAAATAACCAAAGAAGGAAAAGATCTCTACAATGAAAACTATAAAACACTGATGCAAGACATTGAAGAGGACACAAAAAAATGGAAAGATGTTCCATGTACGTGGATTGATAGAATAAATATTGTTAAAATGCCCATACTACCCACAGCAGTCTATAGATTCAATACAATCCATATTAAAATACCAATGACACTCTTCACAAAAATAGGAAAAGTAATCCTGCAATTTATATGAAAGCATGAAAGATCCAGAATAGCTAAAGCTATCTCGAGCAAAAATAACAAAACTAAAGGAATCACATTACTTGACTTCAAATTATACTACAAAGCTATTGAAACCAAACCACATGGTACTGGCATAAAAAACAGACACATAGACCCATGAACGGAATAGAGAACCCAGAAGCAAATCCATACATCCACAGTGAACTCGTTTTCAACAAAGGTGCCAAAATCATACATTGGGAAAAAAACAGACTCTTCACTAAATAATGCTGAGAAAACTGGATATAAATATGCAGAAGAGTTAAACTAGAAGCCTATCTCTTGCCTTAAACAAAAATTAAATCAAAATGGATTAAAGGCTTATAACTAAGTCCTCAAACTATAAAACTACTTCAAAAAACAAGAAAAAATACTTTGGAGAAACTCTCCAGGATGCTGGACTGGGCAAAGATTTCTTTAACAATACCGCACAAGTACAGTCAACCAAAGCAAAAATGAACAAATGCAGTCACGTCAAGTTAAAAAGCTTCTGTGCAGCAAAGAATACAACTGACAAAGTGAAGAGATAACCTACAAAATGGGAAAACAATATCTGCAAACTACCTATCTGACAAAAGATTAATAACCAGACTATACAAACAGCTCAAACAACTCTATAGAAAAGAAATCTAATAATCTGATCAAAAAATGGACAAATAGTTGAATAGACATTTCTCAAAAGAAGACATACCAATTCCAAATGAGAATATGAAAAGGAGATCAATGGATCTCTTACAAGCAGGAAGAGGCCCAGCAGCTGCTACCATCTTGTTTCCACGCCTGACCCCTCCCAGGACTCGTGATGCCAAGGCCACTGAGAGTCGGGGTTGAGCCCCAGCTGAGCTGAGGGCTCGCACTCTTCTGGTCTCCCAGGCCTACCCCATCTAAAGATATTTTCCAAATATGGCAAAGTTGTAAAGAAAGTGGACACTTTTAAGTATGCCTGTCAGAAAAAATATGCTTGGAGAACATGAGCCTCCAAAGAAGAAAGAAAAAAAAAAAAAAGAAAGCTCCTGAACCAGAAGAAGAAATGGAGGAAGTAGAAGAAGAAAGTGAAGATGAAAGGGAGGATCCTGCTCTCGGCAGCCTCAGTCAGGCCATAGCATTCCAGCAAGACAATACTGAAGAACAGCAACAAGAAAAATGGAAACCCAGTTCAGGAGGCCCCTCAACATCAGATGATTCAAGACATCCAAGGGAAACGAAAAGCACATATTTCAGTGATGAGGAAGAACTTAGTGATTAAAATCTTACCCTAGCACAGTAATAAAAATCAAGATTTGTTAGTAACAATCTTAAAGAGCTAATCTTAATAAAAATAAGAAAAGTTAATACTAGCATGTTAATACTATTGCCATCTTAAGAAAAAATATATTTAAAATTTTTATTTGCAAAGTTCATTATAAGGGCTTTATTCATATCTGATTTGTTTACATGAGGACTCCTGAAATTTAATCCTTAAAAACTTCCTGAAAACCAAAAAGTTGAATATTTATTGTTACTTATGTTAATAAACTTTTCAAGAGAATTTTGTCTTAAAAAAAAAAAGGAACTCAACATTATCGATCATCAGAAATATGCAAATCAAAACTAAAATGAGATAGCATCTCACCCCAGTTAAAATGACTTATATCCAAAAGAAAGGTAATAAGAAATGCTGGCAAGGATGTAGAGAAAAGTAAACTCCTGTACACTGTTGGTAGTAATGTAAATTAGTATAACCATTATGGAGAACGGTTTGGAGGTTCCTGAAAAAAACCTAAAAATAGAGCTACCATATATGCTCCAGCAATCCCACTGCTAAGTGTATATATCCACAAGAAAGGAAATCAGTATATGGAACAGATATCTGTATTTCCACATTTACTGCAGCACTTTTCATAACACCCAAGATTTGAAAGCAACCTAATTGTCCATCAACAGGTGAATGCATGAGAAAATATGATACATATGCACAATGGAGTACTATTCAGCCATAAAAATGAATGAGATTCTGTCATTTTCAATAACATGGATGGAACCGGAGATTATAGTGAAATAAGCCAGATACAGCAAGACAAAGTTTGCATATTCTCACTTATTTAGGAGAACAAAATTTAAAAATTGATCTCGTGGTGATACAGTAGGAGGATAATTATCAGAGGCTGGGAAGAGAAGGGGTGGGGAGATGTGGGGATAGTTAAAGGGTACAAAAATAGCCAGAAAAGTGAATAAGAGCTAGTGTTTCATAGCATAACAGGGTGACCACTGTCAATAATAATTTAATTGTACATTTTAAAATAACCAAAAGAGTATAATTGGGTTGTTTGTAACACAAAGAATATATGCTTAAGGTGACTGATACCCCATTTATCCTGATGTGATTATTATGCATTGGAAGCCCATATCAAAATATCTCATGTACACCATAAATACATACACTTCCTATGTACCCTAAAAAATTAAAAATTAAAAAAAAAGAACAAAAGCCAATGTGAAGAAAACCCTCTCTCAGTAATCTCACAAATAAATGCATTCCTGTGTGACTTCTCTGAGTGCAAATGCCATAACTATCAAATGGGGACAATAGGAAAAATGCCCCTCAGGTTTATGACTTCTGCTGCATAAATATTATTAGTGCTGTTATTATAAGTATTATGATTAGAGAACTTGTTAAGGGAGTGAAGAAGTATTTTCTGACCAGTACTTCTCAAAGTTTAATGCACATGTAAAACGCCTAAGGATATTATTGAAATGCACATTCTGATTTAGTAGTGTTTGAGTGGAATTTGGGATGCTGCACGCCTAACCTGTTCCCAGGTGATGTTTCTGCTACTAGTCCATGGACCACATTTTGAAAAGCAGGGTTCTAGATTACATACCTACTATACCCAATCCATTGAGCTTAATGACTTCCATAGCAGAAATACCTAACGTCTCAAATCCCTTTCACTGTTCAGATAAGCAACAAAAGTATGGCACTAAGGTTGGCCACTTTGAACAAGCACCACTGGGCCATTAGACCAGCTGGTCATATTTACACCGATGTAATTGTCCTTTCAGGTTTCCCGTTCTCCAATAGGTGGCAAGAAATAATTTTCCTATGGCTCTCTCCCACCAAAGAAACTGCACCCTAAATTTACCTAAAGCATGGCAGAAAGTATCAATAAAGCTTTTTGACCTCAATGGATTAAAATTCTTTAGAAAATAGAGTATTTTAGAAGAAATCATAATGCAAAAAAAAAGAAAGAAAAAACAGATAAAAAGGGCATGCCAAACTTCAGATTAAGCTCCCCTGTAAAGATGTGAGCCACATAAAGCAGGAAGAATTAGTAATTCTACAGAATATGCATAGGGCTAAACTCTATAAAGAACTGGAGTTGTAGCATTGATAATACCAAACAATAAAACATTATCCTTTACAGGTTATTTTTTTCACAGATAAATTCTACCCAGTCAGTGCCACCAAAACGTATTTTAATCAGAACCATATTTGAATGTAAATGAGAGATAAAATATAAGCGAGCCCCTTTTCTTTCTTTGCTCAGTTCATCATTTCTTTAAGGAATAGAAACACCATAAAAGAACAGTCGTTTCCATTAATTTTTTTTTCTCCTTGAAAGTAAATTTAGGAATGAGTCAGTGAACAGTTTTCTACCTTTCCATTTTTTGCTCCTAATTCTCCACCCAGCCTATTTCTAATAATAACAAGAGAATTCTGCTCTACATATATTAACACGAGCACATTTCTATGGTGAATGAAACGACATTATGTTGCAAATATTCAACTTCCACCTCCAAATAGAAGTCAGAAGAGTCAAATTCTAATTTCAGTTTCTCAGCAGTCATTCCCAACTCACTATGTCAGCAAATAGCAATCAGTAGGTATCTACTGGCACAAGTAGCTCTCACCAATTAATAAAGTGGATTTAAACTGAAAAAAAAAGAAAAATCTTTTTTTTTTTTCTTTTTGAAGGCAAAACGTTGCTAAGAAGTTACACAGAGTCACCCAGGAACAAATTTCACCTTAGAAAGTAGTAAGCCCACCTACTATTAAATGGAAAATGTTACACTTTTACTAAAATATCTCAATCAGCAAAGAGATAAAATACTGCAAATGCCAGCAAAATTCTAAAAGTTTTTCTTAAGGTGAGTGAAATGGGAGGCTTGGGTCATTGGTAGAACAATGCTGTTATAAGTGAATAAAGGAAACAGCCTTTAGCAGAAGACTTTTTTTTTTTTTTTGGAAACTTTACCATAACTCACTTTCCCCTTTTTGCATAGATTAAATGTACTGAATTGTTCATTTTACTCAGCTATTTGCAGTGATAGATCGAATAGTTGCAAGAAATATTCTTTCGGTCTCCCAGAAAGGCATGGTCATCTATCCATTTCTGCCATCATAGCCCAGAACATTCTTTTCTACATAAGCTCCTCTTTTCTTAGAGAGGGTTGCAAAAATACTGAAGGGATACTTTACATATACATAAAAACAAAAACAAAAATCCTTACTCAACTTCTTAAAGTGAAGTTACATAAGAGATTTCTCATTAATCTGCTAATATATCAACTGTTTTTAAGTAGTAGGACAAGTTTCTATCGTGGAGTATATTTTGAACTCATTGAGAAATAATGCCTCCTGCCAAGTGATAATAAGTAAGAGGCAAACCGAATGAAGTCAATTAGTTAATCAGGACTAGTATTATTTCAGTTTTTAGTCAAAATACTAAAATATGTCAGTGAGACATATTGGCAAGTATATTAATAGCACTTATTACATTGGATTTACATACAGAGAAATTCAGACCTAGTGACTTAATAATGTTGATAGCATCATCCATCTTACCTGAAGAAAACAGCTAATTTACTTTAGCTCCGAGTTCATTAAAGACTGGCATTTTTCTCCCCCTGTGGAAGAAACAAGGTCTGAGGTGAGGCACCTTCAGCAATATTTGCATACTATTTCCACCATCAGATAATATGACATCTCACAAATAAGTAAGTACAGGCTAGAGAAACCATATATATTTTATAAAATACAACAAAATAGGGATGATTAAAAGGTTATTGACACATCAGGAGAGTGAAGAAAACATAGAATTGAAAGAGGGGGGATATGCTCAGAGGAGCATGAAAAAGATGAAAATGAAGTTCAATGAGGTTTTACTAGTATGTTTCATGCATTAGGGAGGCCACTGTCAGGAGATGAACCACCGTCTGGGAAGGCTGCAGAAATGAATGAAAATGTAAACAAAGAGCACTAAGAGCTAACAAGAAGCTCATTTCAAGGAATGACGTTTTACTTAGATGACCTAAAAAGCGTCTTCAAGATCTAACTGTAACAGGACAAGGGATGATGCTCCCAATACCTAGGAAGAAACAAGGTCTTTGGCTACTTATCAAGATGAAGTACCCTGCAGGGAATTTTAGTCATCAAGAATTAGTTTTTAAGGCAGTCTTTCTAAGGAAACCATTCCTGCTATAGACAACACATAAACTACAAGAGCTACTGGCCTATATCAATCATTGTTGGGTAAAATTCCTAAGTAGCATAGTATCTGAATTGCACAAATAGCTTCCATAGAATATTCAGAGAATAAAGAAAAAGACTGTTTTAAAATAGTGACCATTATACCAAGAGACACATTAGTCAGTCTTCACCTAAATAAAAATGATAAGGAAAATATTAATCAACTGCAGTCTAACACTTAGAGCAAAAGGCCTAGGTTTGATGATATTTATACCCATGCAACCCTAGAGAATGTAACCCCTTGAGCCTAACCTGTGACAATAGCATCTTATTGAACACCCAACTCTGTGCACAGCACTGTTCTAAGTGCTTTACATGTATAATTGTATTTTATTTTCAAAACAGTTTCAAAAATAGTACAATATTGCCATTTTAGAGGTGATAAAACCGATGACTAAGAGAGTTTAATTAACCTTCTCAATGTCACATGGCTAATGAGAGGGGAAACTGGAATTTGAATTCAGGAATTCTGGCATCATGGCCCAACTCTGAACTACTCACCACAGCAGCTACTTAAAAAAATCTTCAAAATGGTGTAATTGGATTATCTTCCTCATAAGTCTGCTCCAACACACAAATAGAGTGACATTTGCCAAAGCAGGGTCCTCCAATTCCCTGGCCACAGACCATTAGCAGTGGCCTGTTAGAAACTGGGCGGCACAGCAGGAGGTAAGCAGTGGGCCAGTGAGAATTACTGCCTGAGCTCCAACTCCTGATCAGCAGCATCATTAGATTCTCATAGGAGCACAAACCGTATTGTGAACTGCACATGCAAGGGATCTAGGTTGCACTCTTTATGAGAATATAACTAATGTTTGATAATCTGAGGTGGACCAATTTGATCCCAAAGCCATCCCCTCCCCTGCTCAATTTGCGGATAAATTTTCTTTCACGAAACTGGTCTCTGGTACCAAAATGATAGGGGACCACTGTGCTAAAGTACTGCATAAACTATAAAACATAATTAAAGTTTCATCATTACTATGTTGTTATTTGCATAATTTGGGAGTGCTGAGACCAGCTCGGTCATGAAGATGCCAACCCAGGTGGTGCCAAAGGAATTAAGGAATTAAGAAACAGAAACAAAGATAGATGCAAAAGTGAGAACCAGAGTTGGAAATCAGGGGACTCACAGCATTTCAGAGCTGAGAGCCCTAAGCAGACTCTGACCCATGTATTTATTCTTTGCTAACAAGTTATTATTTTTAATAAGCAGGTGTTCAGTGTTTCTTCATAGAATAAAGATAGACTAAATGGGCAGATAGTGCCTGTTCACTACTAAAATAAAAACAAGCTAGAGAGCATTCTTTGTGAGTCAGCAATGGGACAAGGTCATGTATCCTGTGTTTTGAGAACGGTTTAACTAGCCCATGACCGGTACATATTTCTTACTATCCGATAACACCCTAAGCAGTTTTGTGCCTGGGGACAGGTAGGTGTTGCTTGCCACTGTTTCTCAGTAAACAATATATAATCCATCACACACATGTCAAGACCTTTTCCCAGCATAGGGGTTCTTGAGCAAACACTTACAAGGGAAAAGGCCTTAATTTACACTCACAGAACTATTGGCCACATGTATTCTCCTCTTGTATCCTTCTTACGGCTCATGTAAATGGTGGCGACCCCTACGGCAAGACCAGTTTAGATTTTAATACTGGTAATAATACCTACAACACACTGGGCATCTATTTTGCAGGTGAACGCTTATACATTTTATCTCATTTAATTCTGTCAATGACTTTGTAGTATGGCCATCCCCATTTTAGAGATGAGGATACTGGTTCTCAAACTGTTTAACTCACTTAGCATCCAGAGCTAAGTAAGTGAGGGAGTTGAGATTCAAACCCAGAATACTCTAATTCCAAAATATATGCTCTTTCCATCATGCTACACTGTCCCTCAAAATATGGGAAATCAGAGTTGTTTCAATTATTATTATTATTTTGAGGGTGTGGGATGTAGTCTCTCTCTGTAACCCAGGCTGGAATGCAGTGGTGTGAGCTCAGCTCACTGCAACCTCTGCCTCCCGGGTTCAAGCAATCCTCCCACCTTGCCTCCCAAGTAGCTGGGACTACAGGACCACACCTGGCTAATTTTTTGTATTTTTAGTAGAGATGGGGTTTCACCATGTTGGCCAGGCAACCTTAAGTAATTCACCTGCCTTGGCCTCCCAAAGTGTTGGGATTACAGACATGAGCCATTGTGTCTGGCCTGTTTCAATTATTTAATTCTGCATTTTTAAAAAATTGTGACATGTATAAAATAATTATTTTATTATGTTCACAGATTCTGTGAGTCAGAAATTTGAGCAGGACTCAGTGGGGATGGCTTGTCTGTGTTCCACAATGTCTGGAACTTTAGCTGGGGAGACTAAAAGGGCTAGCAGTGACTCAATATAGTTGGAGGTTGGGATAGCATGGAGGCTTTTTACACATATGCCTCATATTTAGACTTTTTGACTTGAAGACTGGGCTCAGCTGGGCTATTTGCCAGAACACGTACAGATGAACTCTTCATATGACTTGGGGTTATCACAGCACAGCAGTTGGATTCCAAGAGGAATCATCTGTCTTGCCTTTTAGGACCTAGCCTTGGAAATCACTCAGTAATATTTCCACTCTACTCCACTGACTAAAGCAATAACAAACCTGTTTAGATTCAAGTGGAGGAGACATAGATCCTCCTTTTGACTGGTGATTGACAAGATCACATTTCAGAAGAGCATGGGGAAGAGAGATATTACTGTGGCTGTCTTTGGAAAACTCAACCTGACATAAATGCCTTCCCTTCAAGACTTGTAACATCAAGTTTCCTTTTGCAAGAAGCTGTTTCTCATACTCTTCCCTTACTTAGAATATCTGCATATAAAGATTTTACACACTTATCTTCCTAAACTGAATACTATCTATTCTTAAAATCCCAACTCAAGCCTCATCTATTCTATTCACTTCTTGGGAAATTCTCACCAACACTGATTTATCCCTTTCTACCCTCGAAATCTCCATAGTCCTTATTTTGCATTTTGGCATGTAATTGTGCTCAGCTAGTAACTGTGTCATATTCTTCATTCTGTTGCCATTAAATATTCTTTAGTAAAAAAAGCCTTCCCTCTTCAACTAGATTCAAAACAGTTCAAAAAATTGTAGATTTCATTTGTAATTCTGCACATAGCAGAACTCTGGATATAACTCTTACCCATAATAAGGAAACTTAGAGTTGTATATTATTTTGTATTTTTCAAGGCCTATCACTAAACATTGTCAATGTGTGTGAATCTCTAATATGTAAAAAATGTAGTTGTGATTTACATGTCTCAGTTCATCCAACAAGCAGAATTAACCCACTTGTGTGCATAACATGTCAAGTACTATGTATATTAGAGATATGGCATGGTCGTGTTTTTCTTAAAGGCATTATTGAGAGGGATAAGTCATAGACTTGCACATGTGCACCCTGGGACAGAATACATCCATGTCATAGAGAGGTACACATAAATTGCTGGGGTAATTCAAAGGTGGAAAAGGTTGGTTTTAACTAGTGTATTGAGAAAGGCTCCAAGAAGAAGGTGTTATTCATGCTGGTTACTGAAGGATAAATATTATTTGCACAAGGTAAAACTGACGAAGGGCAGGTTTTAGGCAAGGAAAGAGAACAGCTGATCATATTTAATTGGAGAAACACAAATTATTAGGCTGTTGGGGACCACTCAGAGATTCCTCTCTAGTTCTATTTAGAGTAAGAGATCTGAATTCATCAGTTTTGTCACTCTATAGTGTACAAATTTGCTATATTTTGAATTTAGATCTCCCCTTTCAGAAAGTCATCTTAAGAGAAGTTGATTTTTAAGTCTATACCCCTTTCTCAGTAAAGAAAAGCCTTGCAGATAGATCCTTTCCCTGTTCTCCTGAATGTTTGACCAAGACACCTGAGCTTGCAAACTACTTGCTTAGCTCTATTTAGGGCTACAGATCCAACTTCTTTTCAGTTTTTAATATGTGTTTAAAGAAACTGAGGATCTAGTTAAAATGCAGATTCTGATTCCATAAGGCTGAGGCAGATTCTGGACATTTTTTTCAAAAGTTCACAGGTGGCCAGGTGCGGTGGCTCAAGCCTGTAATCCCAGCACTTTGGGAGACCGAGGCAGGTGGATCCCGAGGTCAAGAGATTGAGACCATCCTGGTCAACATGGTGAAACCCCGTCTCTACTAAAAATACAAAAAATTAGCTGGGCATGGTGGCGTGTGCCTGTAATCCCAGCTACTCAGGAGGCTGATGCAGGAGAATTGCCTGAACCCAGGAGTCAGAGGTTGCGGTGAGCCGAGATCGCGCCATTGCACTCCAGTCTGGGTAACAAGAGCTAAACTCTGTCTCAAAA